GCCCCATGCCAGCTCGCGCCTCCAACCAAGAATTGTCTTCCACCGTTTCACTGCTATTTGAAACACTTCCCCAAAGCTCCGCGGGGGCGACCTCCTGCAAGCAGATGTTCTGCACGAAACCCCCATCAGCAAGACCTACCATGTGGTACCCGTTCGCAATGGCATGTTCCTTACTAGTAAGCAAGGCATCACCTGGGTAGACGCGCTCGAGAACCTCGTTCGACAATGCAGTCTCGAAGACTGCTGCCCTGGGGACGCATAATACCAGAGATGCTTATTTTTCAAATGTGGTGGCATTCACAGGGAGCACGTGGTCTGCCTGAACGCCCCCCCCCCCCCCCCCCCCTCGCAAAGACGGAGCATCTCATAACCTCCAACAATCGCATAGCTCTGAACTACGGATAACCTTGTATGACTCCACACCTTTGCATACGCAAGTTGCTTGATCGACAACCGCGTAGCCATCCCATTCCCTATCGCATATGTCGCAAACCCCGTAAAGCAAACAAAGACACATGTCAGTCGACTTGCGACGACAATCGAACATCAAACCGACATCGCCATCTGCGCAAAAATCGGCCCATGATCCGCACGGGAAGCACTTCCTAGACCAAAGGGTTCGCTTGGAAGTCTCACGACGAAGGTATTGAAGCTGAAGCGGCTGCGGCTCAAGGAGGAGGGAATCGACTGAGGTGTTAGGAGAGAAGGCTCGGGGCAAGACGCGAAGTGAGGGAAGCAGAGATGAAACGACAGAAGCTATGTGCCCAGAAAGCCGTGGGCACACAGCTTCCCTCTCTCCACTTGCCCGGGCCAGTCCTCAGCTGGAGGCCCACCGCGGCAAGGCTGGCCACGGGCAAGTGGAGGGGGCGCGCGACGGCCGGCGCGTCGCCCGCGAGGCAGCCGTCGTCCAAGTAGAAGAAACTCAGGTCGACGGCGCCGTCGGCGCCGTGGCGCGGCGCGCGAAGGGCGGCCTCGGCGGCGCGCTGTAGTGCTAAGGGGAACAGTAGGGGCCCCAGGGGGTCGCCCTGCTGCGCCCCGCACTCGGAGCGGACTGTCTGCTTGCCCAGGGAGAGAGTTGACGGGCGGGAGTAGCACCAGTTGGCCCAGGGTGCCAGCCCGTGAAACTCTTCGTGGACCGCGCGGAGCAGAGCCTGCCTGTCCAGGGTGTTGAAGGCGTTAGACAAGTCCAGCTTCACAAACACCTCTCCCCGGTCCCCGAGGTGGCGGGTCCACCACTGGCGCGCGACGTGCACCGCCGCCTCGGTGCCGCCAGGGACCGCGACGCCGATCTGGAGGGGAGCCAGTCGGTCGCGCGCGGCGTCGGCAACCTCGTGGCAGAGGCACTTGCCGACGAGGCGCCGGAGCACCCCCCCGACGGCAACAGGGCGCAGGCCTCCGTCCTTTTCGGCAGGGCCACGAGAGAGGCGCCCGCGAAGTACTCGGACACGGCCGGCGGAGCCTGCCCCCTGGCGCAGAGGTTGACAAGGTTCCGGAGCTAGTCGGTGACCTCGTCCCTGTGGGCCGCGTTGAGCAGTGCGTCTTTGAGGTGTTGGGGTCGGAGGCCCGTTGGCCCAGCGGCCGAGCCCCAGGGGAAGGCCCGCACCTCCCTCCAGACCGGGTCCCCGTCCACCGGCAGGGCAGCAGCCGCGTGGACAGCCGGAAGGCTAGCGGGATCCACAACTTGGCGGCTGCGCGGGTGCTTCCGGCCCATCTGTTCGACGACGTCGGGGGTGACCTCCACGGGCGGCTCGCTGGTCAGAGCCGAGCAGCTCTTGGAGTACTGGGCGTCTGCGGCGAGCTGCACGCACCTCTCCGCTCGCTGGGGGGCTTGCGAGGCATGCTTGGCAGCGCGAGCCTCGACAGCCTCGGCCCACAGGGAGGCCCGCTCCCCGTCCAGCCAGCGCCGGCACAGCTCCTTGGTCTGCGTTTCGCCGGCCGCCCTGCTGCCTCGGCCGCCACGGGTGTGAGGGCGCAGGACGCATTTCGGGAGCATCGCAAGCTCTGTTCACGCAGCCTCGGTGTTGTTGTGCACGGTCTGGGCCACCGTCTGCACTAAGCACCGTGCCCAGAGGTCCCGGGCGCCCTTCGGGACGTAGCGCTTGGTGGTGGAGCGCTTGGAGAAAGCTTCCCGGAGGGAGGGGAGACCCGCGGGCTCGCTGTGCGGTTGGCCGCCAGCGGCGGGAGCGGCGGCTGCCCCGGCTGCGGCCGCGCGCGCGGCAGGGCGGCAACGCAGGCAGATGCCGCCGAAGCGCGTCGACAAGAACCGTTGGCAGACCGAGCATTGCTCCAACCGGTGCTCTTGCAGGTACTCGGGCGGGACTGGTGGCAGCCCAGGGAACCGCCCGGCGGCGTGCTCGTTCAGGTGCGGGCGCATGCTTTGGTGATCCCCCCAGCCGGCGGAGGACGCGGCGTCGCCGCGCGGGCACCCAGGGACGGGGCAGTGCACCCGGACGCGGGCACGAACCCTGCGCTGGTGGGCAAGATCGGGCGCCGGGGGAGGGGGGGCAGGTGTCTTTTGCCCAGCTGGCGGCGCTGCCTGTGGAGCCCCGGGCGGTGGGGCGCCTTCCCCAGGAGCGCTGGCCGGGGGGCGGTTGAGAGCCTCGGCCCGGCGCTGTTCCTCCAAAGGAATCCCCGCGTCCACATGCATGTCCCTGGCAGGGTCGAGATTCAACCCGCCGAGTCCCACGACCAGGAGCGGCTCATCCCCATCAGTCCGGTTGCGCCGGAGGTGTCGCCCAGGGGAGCGAACCGCTGGCCCCGCCTCGACAAACGTGTTGCTCTCGTGGACCTCCTGCCTCGCTGGGCCCGCAGAGGCAGAGGAAGCCGCCGCGGCGTTCGGACGCTGAGGGCTGCGGGAACCGCCCCGCCGGCACGTGCACCGATTAGTCTCCCATTGGCACGTGGCGCAAGTGCCATCCGAAGCGGGGAAAGCAGGCGCGGTGACCGCCCGAACGAGGAGGACCACCTGGCCGGCCCAAGCAGCGGGGCTCGTTGGGCAGAACCACGCTGGGCTGAGGGCCGCCGTGGAAGCCAGCGTCAAAGCCTCGCACAAGGGGGCGTCGGACGTGGAAGTCGTGAGCGAGAGCCGTCTCACAGATCGCTGCCAAGCCCCGCTGCGCGGGTCCGCCGTGCACCATGGCCCCATAGACGACGACCTCGAGAGGAGCTGGGGACACGCAGGCGGAGGCGAGGAGCAACGCCGGGTGCACGGGGACGGGAAGCGCCGCCCCGAGCGTGGAGCTCAGGACCTGCCCGGGCGGAAAAAAAATATCTCGCCGCGCCATTTGGGGGGCGCGCGCGCCCCCCCAGAAAAGAACACATAAGCGCAGAAATATTACAATACCTTTTCTCCGGGTTTCCCTAGCCGCCCCCAAGAAGCAGAACCGGAGGCCCAGAAAAAACTGACACAACCGAGCCCGGACGCCTCTTATGTTTCCAGCCTCCCTGTAACCGTCAGGACGATTCGTGGCGTTGGAGTCCCGAGAATGGCGTTTTGGCAAGCTGCAGGATCTTCAAACGGCTGTCTCCCAACGGGGCACTTCCTCACTGGCAATGAACCATTGTAGGGGCCTATGAATGGGGGAGCTTGGAGGGAGGGTTTTGTCAGATCAACATCGTTAATGAGTCGTGAGTTTGCAATGGTCCTCCTCCTCCTGGAACCTGGGACCTGGTGGCGTGAGAAATCATCGATTACCGCCCCCCTCCTCAGAGCCGGCCGGCCCTGGGGGGCTGATCAAACTAGACAGTCAGGCGGCAATTGGTCACCAGCTGTAGCTACGAGATAACTGTAGAAAGAATGACAGACAGACGGCACGTAGAGAGAGAAAGAAAGGAAAGAGGGGCTCCTCCTCCTCCTCCTCCTCCTCCTGGCTTTCCTCTTCCATTCCTTTTCCTTATGAATAGTTTCTCCGTGTCGCACCCCGAAGCCAGTTTTTGGGGCGGGCCGGGCGTTTCGCCTGAGACTTCCTCACCACTTCTGAGTCTGAAGCTTAAAAATTGGCAACAGCTTCACAGATGGAGGGCGGGTGGTTTCCAAAATGAGGCTCTGGCCTGAGCGCCGCGCACATAGTCCTAAAAAATTGCAAGAGCTTCACGGATTGAGGATAATCCGTTTTCAAATTGTGGCTCTCGCCCAAGCGCCGCGCACATTTTCTCTAAACATGTGCAACAATTTCACAGAGTGAAGATAACCCGTTTTCAAAATGTGGCTCTCGCCTTAGCGCCGTGCACATTCGTTCCAAACAATTGCAAGAGCTTCGCGGATTGAGGGTGGTTGCTTTTCAAAATGTGGCTCTCGCCTTAGCGACGCGCACGTTCGTTCATACAAATTGCAAGATGTTTTGTCCCACGATCAACGTACCAGAACTTATGTTTTGGAAGGATTCCGGATTTTGCGGGCGCAATAGTTACGCTGATTCGCGGTGTTAAAATGCCAAGAATGACGTCCTGGCAAGATCCAGGATCGTCAAGACGCAACAATCAAATTAATCCGCGGCGTTGGAATCCCGAGAACAGTGCTTTGGCACGCTTCCGGGTCTTCAAACGGTTGTCTTCCAACGAGGCAGCTCCTTCAATGGAAGTGAACCGTTGTAGCGGCCCCTGAAGAGGGAGCTTGGAGGGAAGGTGTATTCCAGCATCGTTGATGGCGCTTGGGTTTCTACTGGTCCTCGACGTCCTCCTCGTCCTCCTCCTCCTCCTCTTCCTCCTCCTCCTCCTCCTCATCCTCCCTCCCTCCCTCCCTCCCTCCTCCCTCCTCCCTCCTCCCTTTTTCTCCTCGTCCTCCTTCTCGTCCTCCTCCTCCTCCTCCTCGTCGCCCTCCTCCTCCTCCTCCTCCTCCTCCTCCTCCTCGTCCTCGTCCTCCTCCTCCTCCTCCTCCTCCTCGTCCTCCTCCCCCTCCTCCTCCTCCTCCTCCCCCGAAGCATGCCCCGCGGCATCGCACCGCTCCCGCGGCCGCGGCCCGAGGGGCCCGGCGCGCCGACGGCGCGGCGCGCGGCCCGGGCCTGTGCTGTGCCCGCTGACCAGCTCCTCGGGCAGGACCAGCAGGGAGCGCACGCTCCGCTCGGCGTCCAGCCCGCCCCTCTTGGGGAGGACGAGGAGGAGGAGGAGGAGGAGGAGGAGGACGACGAGGAGGAGGAGGAGGACGAGGTGGAGGAGGAAGAGGAGGACGAGAGGAGGACGAAGAGGAGGACGAGGAGGAGGAGGAGGACGAGGACGAGGAGGAGAGGAGGAGGAGAAGAGAGGAGACGAGGAGGAGGACGAAGAGGAGGACGAGGAGGAGGAGGAGGAGGACGAGGAGGAGGAGGACGAGGAGAAAGAGGAAGAGGAGGACAATGAGGAGGAGGAGGACGAGGAGGAGGACGAGGAGGACGAGCAGGAGGAGGAGGAGGAGGAGGAAGAGGACGAGGAGGAGGACGAGGAGGACGAGGACGAGGAGGAGAAGGACGAGGAGGAGGACGAGGAGGAGGAGGAGGAGGACGAGGAGGAGGACGAGGAGGAGGATCTCGAGGAGGAGGACGAGGAGGAGGACGAGGAGGAGTAAGAGGAGGAGGACGAGGAGGACGAGGAGAGCGAAAGGGTAAGATAGCAACGAGGCACGGCACAGACTCGGCTCACGTGGCCGGTTTTCCTGGCGCCTCCTGGCGCCAGGAGGCGCCAGTGCATCGACGAATGGGCCTGGCGGCGGGGGGGAAACCAGCCGCATGCAACAACTTTCGTACCAGACGGCCCGCCCCTCCGGCGGGCCGCCTTCCTCCAAGTAGGGGGTCGACAACATAATTGATTGACCCCTGACTTGATTCCTCCGTCGAGTATATAAGCAATGCGTCGAACGCTCGCAGATCTCCGAACATTCTACGCATTTCGTAAACTCGACGAGAAAATCAACTCTGTGCTAAATCAATGCTGCAGTCGATCCCCTACTCGACTCCTGCCCCTGGGATCCTGGCGTCGCATGTTTTAACTGCGGGCGTCTTCGCCAGGCTTCGGGCCCCAGGACCCTCACAGATCGATCATGGGTCTGAGCTCGAATCGCGATTTGTTTGCGACGTTGCAACTTCTGCAACGTTGGATCTCAGGAACGGCCGACTGCTGTCGACTGCTGCTGCTGCTGCTGTTCCTGCTCTTCCTCCTCGAACTCTTTTCCTATAGATAACTCCTCCCTGTTGCATCCCGAGACGCGTCGGTATGGCAGACTGGGCGTTTCGCCTACGACTTCCTCGCAACATCTGTATATATATATATATATATATATATGTATATGTATATATACATATGTGTATGATCCTGAAGCTTGACTGTGCAACAATTACAAGGATGGAGCGCGGGTCGCTTTCAAAACGAAGCCTCGCCTCAGCATAGCGCACATTCGTCTTGCAAGCCTGTAGCGGTCACAAGGATGGCGCACAGGTCATTATCCAAATGGAGCTCTCTCCTAAGCGCCGCGAACATTTGTTTATAATCGAACAACAACTACAACGAGGGCGCGCAATATCTTTTATTAGGCAGCATTGAGAACCGCTTCATGAACCTTTCACTCCGAATCACACGAGCGCATCATACGCTTCCAACAACTACAATGATGGAGGGTGATTCCTTTCCACAGTGGGGTTCTCGCCACAGCGCCGCGCAAATTCGTCTTGAAATCTAGCGACAGTAAGAAAACGACAACGAAAACGATTCGGCCTGAATCAGATAATAGTGTCGTTTTCACGTGTCGCCGGGACAGTATCTGGGAGGCCTAGATCCATGGGACCAGGTTTAGGTCGGGCATGTTCTCCTACAGGCGTGTTCGGGAGAAAAGCAAACCTAGTCAACAACAGTAACAAAAGAGCACAAGAGATCGCCCCGAGACTTATGTTGTCCCCATCCTACTTAAGGACCCCACATCCCAAAAATAATTCCGAGCACCCAGAAAAGTGTCAAAAAGAGTGTCGAAACAGTGTCGGGCGAGTGCCTCCCAGGGCCCGACACGTGAAAACCCTCGAGTTTCGGTATTTTTTTGGGGCGCTCGAAATTCTTCCGGATAATCAAGGCTAAAGTAGGCTGGAGCATCATAACCCCAGACGACTTTCTGACTCTTCCTGTATGCTCCTCCTGCGGAGGGGCATGCCCGACTCAAGCCCAGGGCAACCATGGCCTGGCAGAGGAGCGGAGCGCGAAGGCCCCGCCACCTTCCGACCTCGGCGGCGGGCTCAAGCGCACCCACGACCCGTGCCGGCGCCAGGGGGCAGGCTTCAGGCGCAGCGTCAGCGTCTCCTCTGCGCCCTGCCTCGCCGCCTCCCTCTCCTTCCCCTCCCCCCGATCCTTCCCCTCCTCTGCCCCCTTTCTCTCCCTCCATCCCCTCATCCCTCGTCGTCCCCCCTCCCGCTCGAGGATGGCATCCAGGACCCGTGACGGTGCCAGCGCGAGAGCCTGGCGCCGCAACCTGGGGAGCCCCAGGTGCAGCTGGCAGTACCACTGGAGGGCCATTGGGAACCTTCAACGCCTGCCCGGGTGCGATGCGGAGTCGCGCCGGCCGGCACCCCCTGTGGATGAGGTCGCCGGACGCGCGGAGGGCTAGCACGGCCCGCGCCGGGTCCCAGCCTTGCAGGTGGCGACGTTCGAGCCCTACCCCACCAACCATCGACCCTCCTGAATCGATATGGGAGGCGGGACCAGGGTTCGGGTCTCGTCTCGCTGCTCGGCGAATTCCGAACCCTGCTACTGCCGCCCACCGAGTTGCCCGAATCGTGGATCGGCGAGGACAGGGCTGGGGGGCCTCATGCGAACCCCACCCCTGCCCCCCACGATTCCTGAGGGGGAGGGCGGGGTTCGCATGTGGCCCCCCACAGGGCTTGGACCTCGCCGCCGGCCTCTGCCCGCACCAGCAGGGCCGGCCACCCTGCGGCCGCCGAGCCGGCCACCACGGCCCCGCGCCCCGACCGCGCCGGAGGACGCCGGCGGGGCCCACGAGCCGCGCCTGTCCAGCGAAACTCGGCTGCACGAAAGAGTGACCCTAGGCCCTAGGCAAGAGTTTAAGTCGAGCCTGTCCCTCTACAGGAGGAGTATTCAAACATGGCAGAAAAATTCGCCGGCCCAACGGGCCAGAGGCGTGCTAAGATCTCCGGTAACTGGTAAACAGTATTTCTAGTTCGCGCGCGCGGGGCGGCCCCTGGGGGTCCCTGGATCAAAAGTACCCCGGGCGGAGCCCGGGACACTCCCCCAGATCCTCCAGGATCGCCCCAAGAGGGCCCCAAGAGGCCCCCAACACAATCCAAGAGAGGTCCGAGACGCCCGAAGATCGCTCCACGACGCCCAAGATGGCCTCCGGACGGCCCAAGACGTCTCCAAGATGGCCCAAGAAGCCTCCAAGATGCCCCAAGAGACCTCCAGGAGCACTCCCAAGAGGGCCCCAAGAGGCAAAAATCAATGTTTTTTTCTTAGGTTTTGGACAGATTTGGGCGTTTCAACCTTTTCGGTTCCCCGACGCCCCTAAACGGCTCAAGAGGCCTCCAAGATCGCCCCAAGAGGGCCCAAGAGGCCCCCAAGAGGGCCCCAAGACGGCCCAAGACGGCTCCAAGACGGCCCCAGAGGCCTCCAAGACGGCCCAAGAGGGCCCCAAGAACGCCCCCAACACGGTCCAAGAGAGGTCCGAGACGCCCGAAGATCGCTCCACGACGCCCAAGATGGCCTCCGGACGGCCCAAGACGTCTCCAAGATGGCTCAAGAAGCCTCCAAGATGCCCCAAGAGGCCTCCAAGAGACGCCCAAGAGGGCCCCAAGAGGCAAAAACCTGTGCTTTTCCTTTGGTGTTGGACAGATTTGGGCGTTTCAACCTTTTCGGTTCCCCGACGCCCCTAAACGGCTCAAGAGGCCTCCAAGATCGCCCCAAGAGGGCCCAAGAGGCCCCCAAGAGGGCCCCAAGACGGCCCAAGACGGCTCCAAGACGGCCCCAGAGGCCTCCAGGACGGCCCAAGAGGGCCCCAAGAACGCCCCCAACACTACACAGCTCCCGACGCCGCAGCTCCACACTGCAAACGACCACTCGGACAGGCGACCACGGTGCGACATTATGGGCCGGCGGAATGAGCGAAGCGATTAAATAATGTGGGGACGGCTGTTTTAGCATTTTTTGCGCACTTTTGATTATTTATGAGTATTTTAGATTTTTCCTCGACAATCCTCCTGTAGGGGGACAGGCCCGACTTAAGGAGTGACCTTTGGTGCGCGGCGGAACGGGGGACGCGGGGTGGCCGAACCCAGGCGCGCCAGCCGCTGCCACCGCCTCGCGTCCGTCGATTGGAGACCCCCCTTGGGCGCCCGCACCGAGCCCAGACATCCGGCCGCTCCAACTCTTTGGTGCGCGGGCCCCGGAGGTCTGGGCCACTTCCCGAGGGCTGGATTTTCGTCCTGCTCGTTCTCTGAAAGCCCCGAGGCCCGGCGAGGGCCCCCAGAGGCCAAAAGTAGCGCAAATCCCGCCACCCCAACTTTTTGGAGCGTCGGATCTCTGGGAAGGTCACTCCGGCGAAATGTCACTCTAACGTCTAGTCGAGAGGTTCGTGGACCGACCAGGGCAAGGCTCGGAAATTCGCCGCTGACGGCCCACCCCCGAGCGCGGCGCGCTTCGCCCCCGAGCGCCCGGGCCGCTGCGGGCGGCCACTGGCCGAGAAAGCCAGTTCGGAGAAGGCTTGGGAGCGGGAGGCGCAGCTGGGCCGGCTCGCGAGGCGTCGGGCCTTCGCTGAGCCTGCGCTGTCCTCCTCCTCGAGATCCTCCTCCTCCTCCTCCTCCTCCTCCTCCTCCTCCTCCTCCTCCTCCCCCTCCTCCTCGAGATCCTCCTCCTCCTCCTCCTCCTCCACCTCCTCCTCCTCCTCCTCGAGATCCTCCTCCTCTCCCTCCTCCTCCTCCTCCTCCTCCTCCTCCTCGAATCCTCCTCCTCCTCCTCCTCCTCCTCCTCCTCGAGATCCTCCTCCTCCTCCTCCTCCTCCTCCGCCTCCTCCTCCTCCTTCTCCTGCTCCTCCTCCTCCTCCTCCACTTCCTCTCCTCCTCCTGCTGCTGCTCCTCCTCCTCCTCCTCGAGATCCTCCTCCTCCTCCTGCTGCTCC